GCTGATGATAGCAAGACGCAGGAAATATTTTACCGAAAAGGTTTGTCTGTACTGAATCACTTCATGTTTTCGTCATTTACTGCGACCTGGCACCAAATTCTGCCTCCTGCGGCACCACAGCTGTCTCCTTCCCTTCGACGGTGCTGTGCGAATCTAACTAGTGCACTGGCTGTTTGACCAAAATTGAGCCTCGGGGCTGGTTTGCATCACATCCCGGCTAGCCAGACCCTGCGGGGCAGCGGTGCAATACACACAGGTAATCACTTGGTGTCATACACACAGGCTTTGTCTGTCCTCGTGAGGCAGACAGAATAATCTGCATGTAGAAGGACTTCTGGTATAGGTGATCCAAATTATTCTACAGGCTATGGTTTTATATATTCTTATCACTTACCTGTTTGAGCATCATTTTTCTGGTGAGACTGGTGGGTATCCTATGCAGGAGGGTTGTCCTCCACTGCCTAGATAAACTGGCATAATATCTGCTTTGCACTACTGGGGCTTTGTATCACAAAGCAGGATCTAACCCAAATACAGCTCAGCAAACAAATACATTTTTGACTGCACTGTTAATGCAATGTGAGAGAAAAGGAGCGTTTGAGTGGTAACCAGCAGAATAGAAATGTTTTTTATCGTGTACTTTTCTTCTGGGAAAAAAGTAGAGGAAACAGCCCAATTCAAAAGGTGCATTTGCTGATTTCAGCTGTTTTCCAATCTCTGCATCTTTTTTCCTGAACTGTGTAAAATGTATGTACAAGTGTTTATAAGTAATTTTATTATCTGGGATGTGTATGATGTATAATAAACTTACTGAGATTCTCTTCATAACTTCTTGAACCTGCAAAGTGTTGCTTATGCTTAATAATTAGCTAAGGGAAAAGTGTAAGTTCACATATGTTTCAGCAGTGAACTGGAGATAACCCAGATTTATAGCAGGGTGATTAAAAAAAAATTATTGGAAAAGATTATTTTAAAAGGCAATGAAGTAAACTGGTTTCGGACTGCCATGCCATTTTCACATCAAGAGCTTTTCTGAAGATACAGCATTAAGGAAACTGAATTTTAATATATAATTTCAGTGTAAAGTGTTGGGAGTCATAGGAAAGCAGGTGAAACTAGCTTCCTTAGAGTGAGTTAATATCTGAGCACATGTTAAAACTTCACTCTCCAATGGAAGCAGGTTGCTGCATCCTTGCAACAACATTTTGGCCTGATTTGCCAGAAAAATTTGGAGGGAA